CTTGAGGGAAAGCTATCAGGAAGATTACATTCCCTCATGCAAAGTTGCATTTCCTCTTGAATTGTTTTATTATTTAATCCATGCAATATGCTCACTTTCATTGGTCATAACTAGAGGAATATGGATGGACCATGCATTCCTGATCAGTAAATTACAAAACAACCACCATCAGATGATAGCACAGGTGCAGGTAATACTTTGATGCCCTCCAGTCTTTGTGTTATGTAAAATTTGGAGAACTTCTTGCCTTAAAGCTCCGAGATATACTAGATGCAGCACAGTCAGAGAACCATGGCTTGATAGCTTATAGAAACAATACAGCACACCTTCCTGCATTTGTAACTGACCATAAAAGTGCCACAGGTCATGTATCTGTGCTATGTACATTTGTTAATATGGGTCATGCTTACCCTGTTGCGCTGCAAGGAGTGCCCATGCTAGCTTGAGGTTCTTCCTTTTATCTTCCATCCACCAGAAGATTCTTCTACTTTATGGCTAACTATTGCTAAGGGGAGAGTGGCCATGGTTTCAATTTTATCGTAGTGTCCAGGATTAGGAAATTTCGAAAATGAACAAGGTCTTATCATGCAGTGAGATAGCCTGTCTATATTTCATTTTTGTATTGCAAGTCTAGGTGATCCACTATGACAGTCATATTAAAGTATCATTGTGATCAAATATGCTGTCATTCCTTCCAGATTTTTAAAGTTCATTAGCTTCTTCAGCTTAGCATAGTCCATTCAGACAGTGAATCTCCTACCATTCAAGTAGTGGTGATAGTGTTTAACAAAGACCACAACTGCAAGCAGTTCTTCCTTTGTTTTACAGTGTCTGCATTCAGGAGGTGAGTGTATGATTAGTAAATTTTATTACACAATCTACTCTGTCCTGCAATTGTGATAACATTGCCTTTATTCCATAGTCAATGGCTTTGTTGTCTAACATGAACTCACTATATTTTTATTGTTAGGAACACTGGAACATTTACTAAAGCAAGTTTCAGGGGTTGCAATGCTTTGTTCCATCCAAAGTGCTCTCAGTTTTCATGAGATCAGACAATGATGTTGCTATCTTGTAGAAGTTGGCCATGAATAGTTGGCAATACAATGCAGAACTTGGGATATTGCAAATTTCTCACTCAGTTACAGGTTGAGGCCAATCTTTTATCATAGCTACCTTATCCTGATCCTTAGAGACTTCATCTCTCCATACAGTGTGACCAACCACTTTCACAGTTTCACTTTCAAGCCTTTTAAATTACTTGAAATTTCTTTTAGGTTCTCAGCTGCAAATTTGAACATGCAACAAAAACACCAAATTATAATTTATTTAGACCAAGCATCTGTCCCATTGCAGTTCCTTCACTGTAAGTTCCATTAGCCTCTAAAAGGTGGTAAGCCTGTTAAATAGGCCAGATAGGTTAGAATGAATCCCGTATAAAGCTATCTTGTACGAAAAACAGTCATGGGTTTGTCTCATCATCCTACTTGCCAGTATCTGGATATCAGATCCAAAATGTTGAACCATTGGGAATCTGTGTTCAGACATTCATCTGTTAACAGTAAATGAAAATAAAAAGTATCAATGTAAATTAATGTGTCCACCCTTATAAATTCAGTACAGAAGCTTGTACTTATCTTCTTTCTGACAATCAGTACTGGAGACTATCAAGCACTCATCAAAGGTTAATGACTCAATTCTTCAACTTCTGCTGTATCTCATCTCTGGTGATTTACCTAGTGTTCTATTGAAGCCAGTACAACACTTGCTTTGTTGGATTTGCATCACCATTACCTATATTGTGGTGAGCCACCACTGTTCAACACAGTTGGCTATCTGGTATAACGAATACATTTTTCTATGCCTAGATTGTTCACACAATCATCATCCAACAATCTCAGATGTATTGGTAGCTTTTGGCTATGGTGTGAGAGAGACAACCGTAGCATTATTGGTTTCTTCAACTTGACTTGCTACACCTTTAACCATTCCAGGATTGATTTGCTGATTGCTTGTAATTACAAAACAACACTTCATCAGTCTGAGCTAATGCTGCCTGCTTCCTGGATAAGAAACCATTTAGTTCATGTGTGTTTTCCATAAACTCATTATGGTAACAACCTGTGTTCCTCCAGGCTGATGGCTAGGCCTTACTTGGACTCTTTCAATTGTCTGGTGTGGTTGTTACAGCATCCTCTATTTGCTGTTGATTGTCCTGACCCTGCTGATCCATTGAACAGTATCAAAAACCTTACTTACTTTGCTACTCTATAAGGTACAGGCAATGTTGGTTAGCTGGCATCTTCTAAGCCATTGGCTGGAACTGATAGCCTTGCTGTCTTTGTTGCTTATGAAGTACAGGCAGTTAATCTGCCAGTGTCTCACCACTTCACAAGGAAAGCAGATGCTTTGCCTTTCCTGTCCTGGGCAATCAATGTCTAGGCAACAGTATAATTGGCTGTGGTTGTATCCCATAGACAGACCTAGCCATTCACTGGAAACCAGTGTGATTGCATTGGTTTTCCTGGATGTATGAGCAGCTGGTTAATCTTTGGTACAACTAGCTTGATATAGTGGAGTAACAAAGTAGATCAGTTTATTTGAGGTGTAGCCACTATAACTTTTGCTGTGGTTTTTCCTCATTCATGACTGGCTGAAAGCTGCTACTTCACATCTGGTTGTGACTGAAACTGCTTCTTTTAAGATGAGGATATTTCACACACTCAGGTGGTGCTTCATTGCTTTGTGAGGATGTACCTTGATCAACTTGTCCATGAGTAAATCATCTCAATCTGCTTTTGCCATAGCAAGATAGGAGTTATTATGCAATCAGTTCAGGTAATACATGTAAGCAGGTTTACTCTTAATTCCAGTCCTCCTGTTGCTTCTCCAGGTGTTTAGTAGCATCTAGTGCTGGATTATCCAGGCTCAGAATCAGGAAATGAAATTCATACATCCTCCTGAGTCTAGCCATTTCACCTAAAACTCTTCAAAAATTGGTTCAGATCTTCTTTTGCTACTTTTTTAAACATTGAGGACAAAATATGCTTTGCCTTACTCACAAGGACTTTTGGTATGGGAAAATGTGCAAATGTCACAGGTACAGGGTGATATATATATATATATATAGTACAAGAATCCTGATGCTTAGGTAAGTAATAATTCCCTGTCCAGGGTGGCAAGGTGATGGATTGCTTGTGACAACTCGTATTGTCCTACAGGACCTCAGGTTTTGTCATCAGCCATGGTAATTTTTGCAGGATACTATTTCTCCATGGTTCACTGTTCTTACCCATGGTTGCTCACTGTCTCACCTACAAGGAAAACAGCTGTCACTGAAAGAGGTCATCCACCTGTGGCACTTCTAATCCTTCTTGGCTGGTCGTGGATAGTCTTGACCAGAGCTGTAGCTGTGGTACTCTGGATAGCAAAAGTCTGGGAGTCATTTAGCAATTTCCCCAAGTGCCAGTTCACTTTGACAATAGTCAGTCATCTTCACTTCCATTGTGCCAGGATTGATTCTCAGGGGTTATGGTTTGAACTACTGGTTTGGGTGCACTAAATATTATATGATAATCCTCAGCCTGCAGCTGTAGGGAGATAAGTGTTAGAAACCCTTTACAATAACAGTAAAAGTCCTATTTCCAGTATAGGGCTTTTCCTGGCTTAACACCTCTCATACAACCATATCTCTCTGGCAGCAAACTCTCCTTCTTGATTATATATGTACTTCTACTTTGGGAATAAGCCATTCTTGAAGTAAAAGCATTCCTTTAAACTCTTATACTCAAAAGGTCAAGCAAGGGCCAGTATGGATGTTAGTAAAAACACAGAAAACTCCACAATAAATCCTGTGGTCACGGCACCAAACTTTCTTTTTCCTTCATACCAGTGGTATTCTCAGGTTAACTGAATTCCAAAATAGTATCGGATAGGTCCACTATATAATGGATGTGTAGGATAATCACAGTGTAATTCTGAATTTAACTGAATGACTAAGATTTAAGCTAAGAAAATATACAGACAATACACATGATGTGAAGCGAACAACAATCTGTATTGCAAGGCAAAAAAAACAGTGCATACTTACATAAAACACTGGACAATCTCTATCCCAATTGGACCTGTGAGTTAGTCAACAATTATAGATGTACATCCATTGAAGTGCTCATGTCAGTAACCAAGTAGAACTGTGTGTAGATGTATATTGATTCAAATTATTGCTCCATACTTAATAGGAAACAATGAAGAAACAAAGGTAACCATAAAAAGCAATTCAATAGTTTTCTGGGCCATGTTTATGCCAAAACTGCACAGAATCAGACTAAACAAAAGATATGCTTAAATTTATATACTAATGAAAAAAGATAGAAAACAAGGTATCACACAATGCTGAATGTCTGTGAAGAAATTATTGAACTCTGAAAATGTAGTTTCAACAAATCTGTTAAATTGCTAAAAAGGTGTGTGTGTGTGTGTTTATATTGTTGATTCTTAGGGTTTTTTTTCTTAAAAGTCCAGTTCATGGGTTTCACTTGTGTAGACAAATGACATTTGTGTATTACATTATGAAATGCGTGTTCATTGTTCTGTTTGTGGTGTAAGAAACTGATAAGAATTAAATTAGAAAGATTATTTAAATTTCATTATTTATGATTCTACTTTTAAGAACACTTCTACAAAAAGTAAATAATATAAGTCAAGAATGGTGTTGAAATAGTTGTGTGTGTAGTTTGAAATAATCATGGATAGGCTTGTCAAAAATATATATACCTTATATAACAGGAAACTAAATTTGAAGGAAATCAAAAAAAGAACATGCCAAATAAACTTTATGGTAAATGTAAAACCACTTCTGTTAGCAAAAAACATAAACAAAAATATTTTTTTATTTCACCATTCTATTATATAATGTTTTACGATGATGCAGCTACACTTGTGAACTGTAAGACGATAATAATATTTAATTTTTCTTTATCTCCTCTAAAACGATAATGTAGATTTAAATGTTTATTCAACTATGGACCAAAGCCCATCTGCTGAGATTCTAACTACAAGTACTAATGATACAGAATTGCCTACAACAACATCTAATGCTCAATCTACAGTTTCTGCAGAGGAGATCACTACATTTTCTCCAGATATCTCAACTGAAAACAAAACCTCTTCAGTTGTTTCTGCCTCATCTCCATCTGCAGCTCCATTATCTGCTCGTAGGTTTGATGCTCCAAGTTTTATTGGGGGAATTGTTTTGTCACTTGGATTTCTAGCCATTTTGTATGTTGGGTTTAAATTCTATAAGGCCCACACTGAGAGGAATTACCACACTTTGTAAAGTTCTTTTGTCTTGGACAAAATCACATGAGATTTATCTTTTGTAGGAAGAAAGAAATCATATATTATTGTAGCTATCAAAATTTTATTTATTTAAGAAAAATTATTTTGTGGCATTGTGCATACAATGCTTTAATACTGATGTTCTTTTTAATTGCACACTCAATTATATATGTCTTTTATTT